TTATGCATAAATGATGATGTAATAGGTCGCACTCGTATTTATAATGAAATCGATGTAAATTAAATACATATTTAAAATATATATTATTTTATATTGGAATAAATTTTATAGTGGAATGTAGACGAATCACAGCATAAAAAATATCCACAGCAAACCTAGCTCATAAGTATTGTTATATAACATAATAACTTGAACAATTTTTATATTTAAAAAACTGACCCCGGAACTCCGTTCCTCCTTAACATTATTAGGTATTTTGAAGTTTAGTTACAAATGAATTTCTTAACGGATCCAGTTAAGGTATGAACAGTTTATATGGGAAGATAAAATTGTTATTTTTATTATTTTCCATGCAATTTCTTTATATTTTCTCACCACTTAAACCTTACTTGGAGCTCTACAAAATTTTCAAAACCAAATTAGCCAAATCGGTCCAGCTGTTCTCCAGTTTTAGCGAGTCTAACAAACGTAAATGTCGTTTGTAAGTAGACTTTTTTATGTATAAGATTATAATAGGTACTCATTACATCAACATTTATGTTAAATACTAATCATATTTAGGCGTCAAATATTGCCTAAATGATAACGGATTCATCTATGATAATATATTTTAAACTAATTGGAATAGCAGACGAAACGGTAAGTGACAAATTTGCAATTAATTATAACAGTACTATAGACATCAAGTCATCAATTGATTCCTGTGTTCTTACTCATATATATGTATGGTAACATCTCAGGACAATTCACACAGCTCTATCTGGTCGCAATCTAAGCAGAATTTATGACATAGCACTAAACGTCTAATATAAATGCATAAATACGTTTCTTATAGTAATATATACTTATTATATATAGAAAACACCCAGACTGGCAAACATTCATAATAATGAATACAAATGTTCTACCGTGCGAGGAATCGAACTCGCGACCATCGGAAGTAAAGCGGCTAAATTGCTAGACCACCGAGGCCGTCAATATCAATATCTCAACCGTCAACATACCTAATTATTCAGATTACAAAGCTATTGCTGTGCGGTTAAAATTGGTGACACTGGACCTACACAGATCATTTTGAACAAAGACTACCTCTGTAAAAATGTCATAATATGTTGTTATTTGAATGGACTAATACAAATTCAAATTCAAAATATTTTTTATTCATGTAGGTCTATTACAGACTCTTATGATATGTCAAATCTGCCGTCAGTTCGGAACGATTTCGAGATGAGAAGAACTAAGAAGAAACTCACCTCGTGTTCTTTTCAAATAAATGTTGTACATGTTTACAATAATAAAGATTCGTTTAAATTCAAATTTGGGAGAATAGAGTGACTACCATCATATGCTACTGCAAAAGCAAAAAGACTAATCTGTATAATACGCTTATAATACGCTGTAATATTCATCCCCTATGCATAGCGGTTAGCGTTGCCAGGCGTCCCGTATTTCGCGGGATGTCCCGTATTTTAGGCTTAGTTTAAAATGTCCCGGCGGGACTGATTTTGTCCCGTATTCGAATCGTGCTCCGTTTTTTATTATTAAATCGATCGATCTACGCTAGACAAAAATACTCATGACGGCAACGTTATAATAACGTTGCCGTCATGAGTATTCAATTACGATTATAATTGTATTGATTTTTATAAATATGTTAAAACCAATAAAAATATGTTAAAACTTACTTGATCCTCAGAAATAAGACAATAAAGAATGTGACTATATAATTTTGTTTTTTATTTGTAGCGAGTAAAAAACTGAATTCCCGTATTTTTTTTTGTTTATTTGCGTTTGCCACTTATAGGCAGAAAGAAATCTGGCAACTCTAATAGCGGTGGACACGTCAAACGTTGCGTTAATACTATAACAGCTTCCTTTGTTCAATATATCTGATATATTTCGAGCTACAATCATGATGATAATATATCTAATATTTTCATCTTCGATATAGAATATTGAAATTTACGACCGACATATGATCTATGGGGTTAAAAGCTTAGCTTTGCACGAATCGTAATAGAATTTGCTTTGTTTGCAACTGATGAAAGTGTACTAGTCCGTTAATATTGTGTTGCCAGCTATCAGTAATACAAAGCAAATCCTATTATGATTTATGTAAAGCGAGAGTTCTGGCCCGCCTGATTGACTTAAATTCATTTTGTTCTCAAAGAAGGGGGATTCGAATAGTAAACATATTAGAACATACAACCACTTTATGTCCGATGGTTGCGGGTTCGATTCCTCACACGGTACAAACATTTGTATTCATGAGTATGATTATTTGTATCGATCTGGGTGTTTTATCTGAGTGTTTTATATGAAGAAGGTATAATATGTATGTATTTACGAATAAATCTATGTATTTGTATCAGTTATCTAGTACCCATAACACAAGCTTTAGGTAGCTTAACTGGGTCTAGATGGCGCTGTGTGAATTGTCCTGAGATTATTATTCAACCCATTTTTAACTATCACGGTGATTTTTTCCACTTTCTTTCAAATTCAAAATTAAACTGAGATTAAATGAGAAATTCACAATAGCTAAATTATGTTTATTATTTGACGACTTTATGAGGGTACTATGAGGGTTAAAAAAGACATCGCCAGAACATCCTTGCCATTGATCTGATCCCAGAAACCACACGGTGTACTTTCCAGCACCACTGTTGCGGAGCCGCGTTAGTAGATCACCAAATAACTAATTTCGACTGATCATAATTCTTTCTGCTAGTCTTAGCACATTTCATTTATTAGGCATATACTATGCATAAAGCTTCCTAAATAGTATATTGGTTCAGTAAACTTTATGGTTGCGGGTTCGATTCCTCACATTATAAGTAATTATATTCATGAGTATTATTGTGTTTGTATAAGTGAGAATGTTTTCTATTTATATATATTATTATTCTATTACCTTGTGTTATGGGCACTATAATACTGATATAAATAATCAGTATTCTAGTGCCCATAACACAAGGTCTGCTTACCTTGGGACTGGATGGTGTTGTACGAATTGTTCAAATTATTATTTATTCATATATTTTATATTCTCTAAATTAGGTATTAAAGGTTAGAGTTACGTGTCATATTGCCCAAGTAATTCTAATATGTTTAATCAATTGTTATTTTATATTCCTGTACAAATTTACGCACGATATTTATTTTATTTAGGTATTTAATATACTCGTATAATATCATTTGTATGCTTTATTTTCACAATTTTTGCTAGTTTTATTATTATCATTTACTTATAGAATATTGCATATTCTCGAAATTCTACGGTGTTATAGATTAGAGTTACGGTTATACTAACTATTGTTATTATTTCATGGTTTCACAATCTCACATATAGTTGAAAATTTCTAACTTCCACGATAATAATATTTTCATATTGCAAAATATATATAAGCCCGATATCGAGTCACTTGTTTACAGAATTGTATTTATTATTGTTTCTTTTCTTTTCTCTTCTTTTATCTTGTTTAAGAGAAGGTAATACTCACCCACACGGGCCTTAGACAAATATGGGTGAGGTTGTGCTATATCAAGATGTTATTATTGTGAAAGTTAGAAATTTTCTTGTAATGCGATATGTATTTAATATTGTGGCTATTTGTAAGAGATAATTAATATTATTATATGTTATATATCTCCTTTATTATTATTATATACGGACATTGTAAGAGACAAAATACAACGCAGTTTCATTGTTAATTAGATTGGCAGTTTCAAAATTTGCAATCACATTGTGTGGCGTATTGGTAAATGGAAATCATCAATCTAATTTTAGTATACGTACTCAAACTGACATTGTGATGTTAACACAAGAACATTTCAAATAATTTGTAATTAAAATCATCGTGAATGTAGTAATCTGCCATAGAGCGATGTCTCTACATACATTAAATATAATACATAAAATTCTTATGTCACAGGCTTAACTTAGGAAATTTTGTGTATATATTCATAATATATTCAGTAGGTCTGAGAATAGGACGTACATTATTTTTCATATCCCTACCGCAAAACAACGTTTGCAGGGTCAGTTAGTATTTATACTAAAAAAGTACTTTGTATGAATTATCCGCTTTGACTAACACATGAGTGCAATGGTGGCTGGCTCATCCGTCGTACTCGTGCACGGGTGCTGCTTGTAAGGACTGGTCAGTTCGGGTTACGAACACTGATTAGACTATTTGCTTTAGCAATAGCATAAGCTGGTTATCACTCAATTCTCCCAAATTTGAATTTAAAAATGAATACTGTATTATTATAAACATGTACAACATTTATTTGAAAAGAATACGAGCTGAGTTTCTTGTTAGTTCTTCTCATCGCGAAATCATTCCGAACTGACGGTAGACTTGACATATCATAAGGGTCAGTAATAGACCTACATGAATAAAGATATTTTGAATTTGTATTTGACATGTATGCAGTATTGTAAAAAGTCGTAGGTACCTCAGTTTGTCCTATTGCAGGTATCAAGCAGCTTGCTTCGTACGATGTGTTTTACCTATAAGGCAGTGAAATTACAAAATATGACATAATCTTCCGGAATATGCTGTTCATGCTAACACTTACTATCAGTTGGGCCGTCAGCTTTTTTACCATTCCAGTTACATAAAAAAATGTATGAAGCCATGCATGGAATAAGAATCTTAAAATCATTATAATAATAATAATAACTGTAGACAACTCACACAGTCCCAAGCTAAGCAGAGCTTGAGTTGTAATACTAGGCAACTAATATAAATACTTAAATACAATTTTTGAAACTACATACATGACATACTTAGAAAACATACAGACTAATGCAAACAATCATTAAGACAATTAAAATAAAGATAGCTCTATTAGATACTTACGTTAATTACTTAACTTAGGGGTAGGATTATATACAAATAAACACTAACTTTTTTCAATTATGTTATTACTTATTAAGTACAGTTACATAACGAACAATTATAGTCAAATGGAAGTTTCGTATTAAATATGAATTTAGTAGAAAAATCTTTGTAAATTCACGTGAAAATTTTCAAGTCAGATTAAAAATAGGGAGATTAATATATAAAATGTTGACATTACATACGTGGAATGTTATGTACATTGTTTTTTTATAATAATTAAGGCAACCTAAATAATAATTGGAATTTGGAATAGGCTTTTTTACTAATTTAATAACGGTACTATACTGCCCAAAGACGGAGCGTAGAAGTCGGGTTGTATAGTCTTATGATTTAACATTTCTTCCGTAGTGTGACTTGTCAAGACTAAAAGAGTTTTGAACCCTGTCTGTTTTCCCAAACCTACGTCTTGTTCAATCCTGCAATAGAAAATAAAACCAAATAAGAAGATTACTACGTACAAATCAAACAGCTCGAAGGAAAGTTTGTACAATATATTTTTTTGTAAACATATAAATAATATATAGGACGATATATATGTAGAATTAATATATTGTACCTTCATGGCTGTTATTTCCTTTGGGGTAATCAAGACACTTTCTCAAGCATCGACCTTATGATAAACATAGCACTTGGCATGAGCACATTGTGCATAAGTTATATGGAAACAAACTTTATAGGGAGCGAGCCTATCATCTTTTGGGCTATTTTGGTCTATTACGGGTATTTCTATCATCGAAGAATTAGTAAAAAAAAAAAATAATAATAATATCTCAAGACAATACACACAGCGCCATCTAGTCCCAAGCTAAGCAGAGCTTGTGTTATAGGTAAATATATGGATACATTTTTTTTTGTAAATAAATACATATTATACATAGAAAACACCCAGACCGATACAAACACTCATACTCATGAATACAAATGTTTGTACCGTGCGAGAAATCGAACCCACGACCATCGAATAGTAAAGCGGTGTGCTAAACCACTAGACCACCGAGGCTGTAAGTAAAAGGCCAAGTAAAGTAGAGATTTTTTTTTTATATAAGCCATATTTGAACCCACTTTATTTTTTGGTACAACTCTCTTATATAATTATGTGCAATTTACAACAACAATGATATATCCGTGTGTGGCACGTGTTTTGTTATCATGGAAGCCTTTCCAAATAAAATTACATATATCTTTATTACAAATGTTCTGGGAAGCTTCGAGTACAAATGAATAAGATTTGTTTTCTCGAATACAATTGGTTTTGGATGTATGAGAATAAGCTCATTTATTATTTGGAGATTTTAAATTGAGATATGTGGGAGTTATATCTCATACATCAGAGTAATATATCCTATTACACTAATAAATCCTATAAGCAGATACATGTACCGGTAATTGAGAATCCTTGTGGTTGTATTGACTTATATATGTATGTATATAATACAAACACACATGAATATCCTTGCGATTGTTTTTATAGATGGGGTATTTTTTTAGACTACTCTAATACTGTTGGCCACAGGTGGTCTTTACAGCATCAGCTTCACCGGACGATAGGGAACGAGTGCAAATGGTACTCCAAACCCGTGGAAGAAGTTATGAAGCGGCTGAAGGTCATCTCCCACCTCACGGATACGACTTTAGTCGGAGGGCACCGCTAGGGGTTCGAACTTAGGCTCGTAATTTCGATACTCCCTTTGAATTGGATATAGGTATCGATCAGAGGTGTCTAGATAAGGTAGTCAGAGCTGTTGTCAAGAGTTATGGTGAAAGCGGTACTTGATATCCAAAAATATGATTTGAACCCAATATAGACTAATTTTGTTTCTCTGATTATATGTATTATGGGCCATCAATAAATTACCTCGCACCTTACGAGGAAGTTAACAAATATCGTATAAAAAAAAACATTAAATCTAGAACCTACGTTCCCAGGAGATGCTTTAGATTTGATATCACATTTAAAGAATGGCAAAAATTGCGGATGTTGATATGGTGTAATTTAAGGATAACTACTTACTGTAGTAATAATATTAAGAATAACTACAACTGCAAGTTTAATACTTACATATCACCAATAAATAGTATTCTACTTGGATCTGACAAATCTGCCCGTCTCATAGCAAATTCGCCAAATAGTTTGCCAGGCTTTCCTAGTTGTATTGGCAACCGTTTCGTTTCTTCTATAGCTAGATCTGTGAATACTTGAGTGCCTAAAACAAAACAAATATATGTATTTTTTAATGTAACTGGTACAACTGTAACTGTTTGGTGGTAAGTGGTAATAATGACACGTAGACGTAAACAGCGGACGTCAAATTTTACTGTCTAAGGTTTCAGATATCATAACATCGAAATCTTATAACTTCACAGCTCTATATAACATTTGCTACCAAAACATAGCCGAAATAACCTAACAATGTATATAGGGGCTGTATTTATATTAGTTTTGTTGTGTATATAGGTTGTTTATTATAAAAGTAAATTGCAGACATATAAAGTTACTAGCTTTTGCACGCGGCTTCGCTCGCGTTAATTTATCCCCTTAGGGGTGGAGTTTATCAAAATCTTATGGGATGCCTATGTCATAGTAGATTTATGCATGCAAAGTCTCAGCCCGATTGGTTTAAAATTGACAAAGTTTCATACAAATTTTCATCCCCTATTTTATCCCCTTAGGGGTAGAATTAATCAAAATCCTTTCTTTGCGGATGCCTACGTCATAACATATACCTGCATGCCAAATTTCAGCCCGATCTTCCAGGGGTTTGGGCTGTGCGTTGATATATCACTATGTCAGTCACCGTTGAGTTATATATATTTAGATGTAGAATAGTATAAAATAATTAAGAATTAGGAACAGAATTAATCAGTATATCTGCAGAAGAAACCATGTTGACGTATTTTAGTTTTGCCGCGCAAACGTAATGCGCCACAGATGCAGAATATTGCACGACGCGACGCGCAGCCGCAGTAGGACGACGAGCGCGTCATAACTGTATGCGTGATGTTAATCCTATGTATATTGTAACATGTATATATTCTTTATTGTACTTTGAATACATTATGTAAGTAGGTTCATCTATACATATCAATAAAATTGGAGTGTCTGTTTGTAATATTGAAATAAGCGTTTTTTACTACGTGCATATGAATATAAATACGGTATACACAAAAATATATTTTTTTACAATTTTTATCTGTCTGTCGGTCTCTCTGTTTGTTCCGGTTAATCTCTGAAATGGCTGAACCGATTTTGACGGGACTTTTATTGGCATGTAGCTGATGTAATAAAGAGTAACTTAGACTACTTTAATAAAAAAAAAGTTAAATTCCACGTGGACGATGTCGCGGCTACAGCTAGTTTGAAATATAACCGAAATATAGCTTAAAAAACAAGCATATTTTCAGAAATATATTATATAGTCTTTATTGGACTTTCTATAAAACATTTAGGATAAACGAAAATAATTTGATAAATGTTGACACTCTTTTGTCAACATTATTTAGTCTTATCCATTAAAGAGATTTCCTCCAGTCAGCCCAATACAGCGCGCATAAGTGTTGAGTGATTCTTATTATTAATATGAATATTACGGACATTGGACAACAGAAAAATGAATATTTTATTCAGAATATTGATTCAGAATACAACCAGAATATTATTCAGTTGAGATAGTTGCAAAAATAACAACTAAGTGTGACCGACACGATAATGGTATTGATAGAAGAATATTTTCCTTTATGGGAAAACAAGCGGCAATATAACTGAGTGCGTCAGTATAGCAAAATATCTGTAAATACAATTCAGAACATTCTAGGAGAATTTAGGTCAATTGTATCTTTAAACTAGTATTATTCCACGCCGCTATTCGAAGAATATAGATAATGTTATTTACTAATAATATCAGTAAGTATCGATATATATTTTTTAATCGGCTCATTTATTATTAGCGATTAAGGAATTTATCAATATTGATGTTTTTTTCTTTCAAAGCAGACATCAGTTAGATGATTCGTATGTTCATATAGATTAATTGCAGAGAGACATTTTCAAGAAATTACAAAAATAAAAAATGTGTGCGTTATATGGGGATACCCATTACTGCTTTTGGCTTCTTTATTATCATCATTACATAGTATAAAACAAAGTCACTGTCGCTGTTTGTCCGTCCCTATGTGTGCTTAAATCTTTAAAACTACGCAACGGATTCTGAAGCGGTGTTTTTAAATAAATAGCGATTTAAAGGAAGGTTTATATATATAATACATGTACATCCGTGCGAAGCCGGGCGAATAGCTAATATAATATTGAAAAATATAATTACCTAAACCTAAGAACCCAGGCTTGAACACAATATGTCTGTCTGTAGCTCCATTTAGAAAGATGACTTCAGGCCTCCGGAGGTAGGTGATTGCTTTGTACATCTTTGGTAAATTCGCTTGAAAGTCACTGTCAAACACCACGGCACCTATCTCTTCATCGTCATTCAGATATTGGACGTATTCTGCATAGAAACTCGTACCTACATCTGGCTGTGAAATTTATTCAAAATTATTAATACTGTATATATTATATACAATATTTTCAAGAGGGTATATTAACATTTCTTAAGGATCGGCAACGCCAAAGTGACACCCCTGGTGTTTCAGGCGTCCATAGACTACGGTAACAATTTACTTTTTATTAAATGGGTCGTATGCTTGTTTGCCACTATAATACTATATATATATATATATATATTTTTATTATTAATAACCCAATTATTTTAGGTAGCAAACGGCGAGCTTTGGAAAACGTATATCGGTTGTATTGTACGATTGGGCAATGTAGTTACAGGATAACAATCTCTGTTAAATTTTCTCGAAGGGTAGAGTGTCACATGATAATGTGATATCCGTAGTGTTGATCATGTATATAAGGGATACTCGCAGCTTGCGATCGATGAGCAATCAGTATATGTCCCATTTCATAGAAAATAGAAAGCTACTTCGCTTCTGTAAGGAACATGGCACGCTAGTTTAGTAATCTGTATTCTACATTTTTATAAAAGAGACTCAGAACGCCTAAAATTTATTTAAATAAAAAAAAATATCCTTTTTACAATATTCTTAATGGCTAGTATATATATCTTGAAATTATCATATTTAATAAACGCATTCTATCATGTCAAATTCTATTCTATTCTCAAACATATGAATTAATTTGTTCTCACTTGAATAAATCAATCGGAACTGACAATAGATTTGACTGAGCATATTATATCAGCATGTCTAAAGATATTTTGATTTGATTTGATTAATAATAATATAATACTTGCCCCAGATTTACATTTGAAGCCGTAGGATTCCAAAGTTTTTATAGTCTGTGGATTTGTTACACAGTATACAGTCTTATTAAAATTAAGTGATTTTAAATATTCCGCCATCGCTACTGAAGGCACTGTCAGGTTTTCCTAAGGACAAAAGAAAGTATTTGTTAAATATAATATAACATTATTAACCGGGTCTTAACACGAATAATTTTATGGTAAATAAATGTATTTACCTCTCCTTACTACGAGTATGACGTGAGTCAGGTTGTGACCACGGGTAGTGCAACCAATTCCAAACGTCGAGAGAGGTAAATATCTGTATTTACCATAAAATTATTCGTATTAAGACCTAGTTAACAATATAAATAATGTATATTAAACACAAAAGTTTAAAAATAACTTAAAATCTATATTACAGTTTATATGCTGGTAATCTACTCTAGATTTGTATTTGTGCGAAATAATATATATATCAGTTGGTTTTTTTTGTTTTATGTAACAAACTAAAATTGTTTCTCTTTATAAATTTAACGTCTAGACAAAAATAATTGATTGTAGCTGTCAGTTTAGTCTCTTGTTATTATACTGAAGCTTTTTCCTGGGATTTCGCCTGCTCTTTATTAAATAAAACCGTTAGCACAGACGAGCGTCTGTGCTAACGGTTTACTCTAACCACCAGGGCATCAGTGGAGAATGATATTAAGAGTATATTATGTATGTATGTATTTACAAATAAAAAATGTATCTAAATATTCATATCAGTTGTCTAGTACATATAACATCAGTTCTGCTTACCCTGAGACTAGATAATGCTGTGTAAATTGTCCACGGTTTTTATTATTATATTCATTAACTAATATTACAATTATTATTTAATAAATTTACACCCACTCGGTTTAGAAATCTAGATCGTTTATACACAAAATAAATTAGTTTCGGCACAACAATACTTTGATAACAATGAAAATAATTACGAATATTAACAGAAACATTTCTTTGATTCACTGTTATAATGAAATAGTAACAATGTTATTAAAATTAATAATACCGCTTAAGTAATTTATAAGATCTTTCATTATTACTTACATTAATAATATTTAAAGTACCACGATATTTTATTTATGTACTGTGTAGCTATATTTTTATTTGTCTTTTTTTCCTGCCTTCTTTATAATGAGAGTCCGAGAAAATTATTAAAAATTTTATACCTACCTTTATAAGTATATAAAATATATATAGTATTGTTGAACAATCAGATATTTAATTAGATTTTTCATAAATAAAAAATATATACTAATTACTACAGAATTCTACAGATGTTACTTGAATATTGGCTTTTTTTTTCGGACTACTCTAAAGCTGTCGCAGCTGGCCTTTACAGCTTCATCGAACGACAGAGGGCCGAGTGCAGATGGCACTACAAACCAAACCCGCGGAAGGAATTATGGAGCGGCTGAAAGCCAACTCCCGCCTGACGGATACGACTTTAGTCTGAGGGCACCGCTAAGGGTTTTTTTTTTGTATGTGATAATGGAATGGTGCATCCGCCTGCGCTAACGGTTTACGCTGGCGGGGCACCAGTGGAGGGTGATAATATGAGCATGAGGTCAGGTCAGTTAGCCCATCGTGACAAATTCACCAGGAATTTAACACGATGGTTTCCAGGGGGAACCGCGTGGAGGTCAACCTGACATGGTACATTGCTAGTAATGGGTTCATTAGTCCACATTACTAACAATCCCATTTCCCCCCCACCGCTAAGGGTACAAACCTCGGCTTAGTCCATCGTAATTTCGATCTCCGTTTGAATTGGACGGATCAATCGGAAGGGGTTGAATATTGGCATAATAGAATGAAACAATAACGTAGATCTTTCTACTTAAAAAAACAAATTGTGTATTGTATGTAATGGACGGCCTCAATGGCACTAAACACAGGTTTCGAATATCGCGGGTTCGAATCTTGTACGATACAAATATATACACATATCCATGGCTGTTTGGTAATATTAATCTTTTCTACAATAAATATATACATATATATTATGTATTCCATTTTCTGCACGGTCAACATTCTACCGAAACCTCTACTTTTAATTTTTTTTTTGTCTATGCTATTGAATAATTTTTTTTTCGTGGCATTCTTCGAAAATATACATACGCCATTACATAAGAAGTATATTTATTGTATTACCAAAACTTTACCTGACGAGAGAGCTAAATCCAGAACAATATATATAATTTGTGTTACGTCAGGACTAGACCTGTGTATTGTCCTAATTTGTGTTGTTAATAACAAAATAATATTATATAACAATATTATTAATACAAGTTGCCGAATAAACCAATACTTCTATTTTTATTATCTGCTGATTCTCACAATATAATACTCATTTATTAGAACGAAACTCCTCTATTGTTGCTTCTATTCTGAAACATTTGGGCGTAATAGCCCATTTTCATTTTGTTATTAAAGTGATTGCTGGTTATTATTATGATTATTTATTTAATATTCGTTTGTATAAGATATAAAATAACAGTTTGTGTTAATTATCTGTTTAATAATATCATTAATAATTTTCTTAAGCCTAAGTTTACCCATTGTTGGTTATGTATCTAACTCTAAATAGAAAGTAATAAAAGGTCTTATTAATCTTTGTTTCGACAAGGAAGAAAGAGAAGGGATGTAAACTGGTCGAGTAAGGGTCGACCTACTCGTGAACTCTTTGGATACATCATCATCATCATCATCTGCTTCTTCCTTATCCCATTTATTTGGGGTCGGCGTAATATGTTTTGAACTTTGGATACAATTGTTGTTAATATTTGCTTTTGTAAATTAAAATTTAAAAATTATTTTCAGTATGCTATGTACCAAATAAACAATTTTTTTTTGTTCTTTCTTTCTTTAAATTATCCATGATGGAGTGATTTGAATTCATTCTCATATTTGCATTTATCATTGACCTTACATTTCCTTTAGGTATCACTATACTATTAGTGTAACTGGAATCACAATATTGTCCAATAAAAAAATATATGGGAAATATCGTTTACTTATAAAAACTGTTTTTGTCCTAATTTATACCTTAAATTCTTCTTTCTTCGATTACAAATAAATTTTTTTTTTACTTCCTTCCTTAATATAGAATATTATTTAACGTATTCTTATGTTACTAATATTCGTTACTAATATTTATTATAAAAATAATAATGTTGAAATAAAAGCTAATTAGCCAAGAACAATGCGGATTAAGAAACTAATATTTCATAATTAGTTATTACACTGCCAGTAAGTATTTCTTATTTCATAGTGAAATTAATCTATACGTTTGCAAATTGACGAGTAGTAATTTTTTATGATGTTCGAATTAAAATTATTGATTTATTCACTAATTGCCATTTATTTATTGATTACCAAAGCTGTCAAGAAACTGTTTTAATATTCATAATTAAAAAAACTTAAACAAAATTCTATATATATTAACTTACTGTTTCTACAGTTATCATTAAAATATGTATCCCATTATATATATATTATAAATATTTTTACAACAAAATCACGGTCTTTAATGTCCACGTATCAGCTTGGTATATTATTTTACAAAATGCCATATAATTACCACTAATTTGAATTGATCTACTTTGTTCATGTTCAATTATTCTAATATCTAATTATATTATTTCAATGTCGTATTAATACCGTAGTTAATGACTGAATAATTATTGTAACAAGACACTAATTATGACTGTGTACGGTTTTAAAGTTTGATTAAAGTTGGAAATACTTATTCTATGTTTCTAGTTAAAATAATAAGAAGAAAGGAGATTGTAGGATCTAAGATTATAATAGAACGATGAGAAATTTCAATATGTTTTTCTTCTTACTTTTTGAAGTACTAGTAGTATTCAATACCAATAACAATCAAACAAGTAAATTATAGTACTTTTATATTTATAATACTTCTAAGGATGAATCCATGCTATGATTATAAACTGACACAAAAGGGTTTAATATAAAGAAAGTAAACAATTGTTTATAGAGAATGTCAATGGAAGCAGAGCAGAGATTTCAGAAATTTCGTTTAAAAGATGATTTATTCCAGTGTAACACAGTAAGACAGTAGCATAGTCCTTGGTGGTCCAGCGATTTTGCACATAGCTTTACTTCTAATGGTTACGGGTTCGATTCCTCGCACAATGCAAACATTTATATTCATAAGTATGATTGTTTATATAGGTCTGAGTGTTTTCAGTACCTATAAAACAAGCTCTGCTTACCTTGGAAGCAGATGGCACAATTGTTCTAAGATATTATTATTATTATCAGAACAAAAAACAAAATGTCTTTATTTATTTGCAATTGATTAAGAAAGCCACATTACTAACGAATAATATAATAGCCACGGAAAAGTACATTATTTTTTATTTAACCTTGAAGTTATTAGATAACGTATAGTTATTAGTATAACTCATCATTATTATGTTTTATATAGCTTATCACAGAGACTACCGCATATCTTAAGACTCATACAAATCAAGTTTATCTGATTATACCTACTGCAAACATTATGCGGTGTGGGTTATATTTATTATTACAGCATGATTCAAAGCGTGATCTTTGTTCTGTGGAAATAGTGACTATTATTGTTGGGTAGTTTGTTTATGATCTTTTCATAGCTTGAAATTGTTTCACGAAATCCTCTAAACAAAGTATCATCAGGCAATGAATAGAGTTTGTATATAGTTTGAAAGACTAGTGTTGACTGTTTTTTTTAAATGATGATAATGGATTGGTGCACCCGCCTGCGCTAACGATTACGCTGCCAGGGTACCAGTGAACGGTTATTAGGTGAGCATGTGGTCAGATCAGTTAGCCCATCGTGACAAATTCACGAGGAATTTAACACGATGATTTCCCGGGGAAACCGCGTGGAGGTCAACCTGATTACAATCAATCCCCTTCCCCCCTAGTGTTCTGTGACTAGACTATAACGGCGAAACACGCATGGCAATATGCGTAGATCCAATAAAGGTCGGAATTTTATCACTAACGGGCAAGGACGTAACGCTTTCAGTAGCTATAATATGTGGTCTCACAAATGCTAACGGTAGCGGAATTAAACAAAATAATAGAAATTCATGAAGTAATAACGACGAAACGTTGTTATTCCTAATCTCTGAAACGGGTGGACCGATTTTGACTGGGCTTTCAATCGTCGATAGCTAATATAGCCTAATGTAGCTTTTAGGCAAACTTAGTGTTGGATTAAAATCCAGTATTGTATCAAATTAGACGCTCCTAATCAAATTCTTGTACTGATTTTCATCTGTTTTTTGTGATAATAAATAAACGAATTTTCGAAAATTTATTTATTTTAATACCATCCGGATGAAGTCGCGGTTATAATATACGTCTATGAAAATAATCCATGTTTCGCTTTGACTCACTAATTTGAACAATGAACTAACGTGAGTCATTATGGCATCATAATGTATAGTAGCCACGGTTTACTCAAGTATTTCAATTTACTACGGATGACCATGGAATGGTACATTAGTGAAAGATAATTAGTATGAGAATGAAGTCAGTCATAGTGAGGAATTAACCACGATGGTATCCAGATACGAACTGAATTACATTGTAGCAGTTGTGAGCGGAAGGGAGCTGTTCTAATTCTCACATCCCCACCTTGTTGGGAGCCATAGTCTTATTAGTTGGGGTAAGCTATTGGTCAATTCACGCAGACATTATTGCGGTTCAGGCGCCATGTCGTCATTGTCAGGCTTAAGTGCCACATGTCAGGCCCACGAGAGGTCATATACGAGTATATACATATATATTTATTATTATTATTTATATATATGTATGTATAAACGAAGATGTATGTATAAAGTAATCGTGTGTCGGATGTGTCGGAGAGGTAGAAGAAAAATCGTCCGTCGAGGTATGGGCATGTAATGGTTAGAAATGATGATTATATAAGGGCAGAGGAAGGATGAAAAAAGTGGATGGACTGTGTGAAAGATGATATGGTAAGAAAGAGAGTAAATAACGAGATGACTGCGAACACGGATGAGTGGAAAAGAAAAACATATTAAATTCCTAATTAAATGGGATAAGGAAGCAGCAGATGATGATATGTGTATAAAATCAGCTTGTTTGTGTTATATTGATACAATATATATTTACACATGACTATAAACTTTTAATAAAGAGTTTTATAAAAGTGTACATAACATAATTAGAAATTGTAATTTTATCGAAAACAAACTGATCTCACAGAGATTAAATATTTATTTAAAAATTGCTACTAAAATATTAACTAATATTATGCTAAATTCTATTAATAATCTATCTGTCTCTGTCTTGTCAATACTTTTGCTCTTTCTGATAAGCCGTTTCTGATAAGCCGGCTGGCTTTTTTGTAGACTATAATGGTGACACCATTATAGTCTACAAAAAAATCTAAAAGCCTGTACAGATCATAATGACATTTGAAACGAAGATAGATTATATCACAATACTTTTATCTTAAAATTTACAGACAAGTCACGGGGCAATAGCGAATATCCAATATAAAATTCACTACTTAATATTAACTTACGTAACCATCAGTAATTCCTGATGCTTTGAATTTAGCTTCATAATTTTCTTTGCTTCTTATACTATTATTAGACACATAGTGAACAGTCTTTCCATGTTTCTTCATCAGCTTGAAGAATTCTCCAGATCCATCTAAAGGGGTATTGGACCATATTACACCTGTAACAACGACAAAGCACTTAGAAATTCGTCATGCTCTATTCACACACATTTAAAGAGCAAAACCTAAGTTTCTTGCTTGTTCTCCTTGTAGTCCTAGCTTTCCGAATAGCGGAGAATTAAAAAAAAAACTAGAAGTAGGAGTAGGAGTTTGTATTCAATGGCGCTTAAAAGGTTTCTTTGAATAAACAATATATATTGGGATAAAATAGGGGATGAAAGTTTGTATGAAACTTTGTCAATTTCAAATCGATCGGGCTGAGACTTTGCATGCATAAAGCTACAATGCCGTAAGCATCCCCTAAGAAAGGATTCTGATAAATTCCACCCCTAAGAAGATAAATTAACGCGAGCGAAGCCGCGGGCAAAAGCTAGTTACATATATATTTACGACATCCGTTATACTACATTCAACCGTACGAAACTGAGGTGAGTCACTAGTAGCCGCATAGTTTAATATACTCTTTAAACTTCGAATAATTACGGGTTCATCCCCGCTAAATAAAAACTTGTACTCTTACAGTACTACCATTTGTATTGAAGTGGGTGATTCCTAGATATATTGTATACTAACTGTATCCCGCAACTTTTTCTGCTTTATTAGAGAAGATATAGACAATATTGATCCACGTGTTACAATATATTTCCATGCCAAATTTCAGTAGGATCAGTTCAACTGTTTATGAGACGGAAGATAACAGACAGACAGACAGACATGCTTACATATTTATATTATTAGAATGAATTTACATAATAATACTATTTCAGTTATTTGATAGTGATTTGTATAATAATCCCATGACAATTCACAAAGAGCCATCTTTATCAACAAGCTAAGCAGAGCCTGTAAAAAGTACTAAACGACAGATATACAATAATACATATATAGACTTTTCCTACAAATACAGAGTCTAAATAGAAAACACCCAGACTAATACTAACAATCAATTAACAATCATGCTCTTGATACAAATGTTAGTACTGTCCCTCTGATCGAACCCGCAACTATCGGAAATAAGACGGCGTGCTAAACCACATACCACCAAGGATGTCATAAACTAAGAATAAATAAAAAAAAATACTAAATGCAAAGTAAGAACGTTATTTTTATCATAGAGCTAATATTTATCTTGCATGCATAGTATAAAATCATATGAATGTTGCATGCACTAACAGCTTTGCTTTTTTTTCAGATCTCCGTAAAATAACAGTAATTTTAAATGAACTGTTGTTTACGAAATGAATATTTTTTACAACTATTCTTTGATGACCTTTTCGTACAAAAAGAACTGGTAAAAGCACATTTGGCGACTCTCACCTTTTCTACCAGTGAATCATGAATAGTGCAGAGAAATATTATAGTAAGTAGTTAAATGAATGAATGAATAAATAAAATTATTAATAAATGTAAATTCATACATCTCTTTTCTACTATAACTAAAAATTGTCTTCTGTACTCTTCTTACTCTGTAAATTATGTTACTTGTATATTTCAAATAAAAAGTTAATAAATAAATTCAAAATTCAAAAGTGAACATTATCACAATATAAATCATAGTATTCTTGTCGACAGTTATAAGGAAGTATTTTATGATAACAACTTTATAAGAACAATAAACATTATTATCAAGTTAGTTTAGTTGTGGTACTGTTCTAATAAGTACATCAAAAGTTTTAATTACTCACAAATCATGAAATCATTCCGTAACTTTACAGTTTGCTTCTGTAATACAGGTGAAATTTATTAACTTATATCTTTAGCATGTAATAATAATTGTAGTTGTCATTGTTTGATGATATTCACCCGCAATGACTTAGTCTATCACCCCAATAAAAGGAGATATATAAATTATATTTCTGAACATAATATATATAATAATCTCAGGACAATTTATACAGCGCCATCTAGACCCATGTTAAGCTAGTTAAAGCTCATGTTATGAGTGATGATGTAATCCTACTAGATAACTAATACAAGCAAACTTTTTTTTTGTAAATATACATAGAAAACACCCAGACCGATACAAACAATTATACTCATGAATACAAATATAATAAGTTGTATACTTATTTATTTATTTTATTTATTCAAATAATAAATTCTAAAGTTACAGATCCTATTTTTATCCAGTTACCAATCCTATTTTTATATTAAAACTATTATAATTATAAAGATACGTATATTCTAATTATATTTATTAGAGAAGGCAAGCCTTCTATGTGGACATTAGCATTTTGGAACTGACCCAAAATTGAGTTCAAGGGCTACAATGCTTGAGCATTGAGAATATTACTAGCATGTTTGTGCGCACCACCACAATTGCAAACAGTCGGGCACGACAGCGGGTGTATTATATGGAATATTAAATCCTATACATTCGACTACTGAGGGATTGTCTATTTTGCGATTGCATTGCGAAATCCGTCAAAAATAGGACGTCTGCTATACTTCTCATGTATTCTTAAGAACTAAGTGATTTTACTTGGTACCAAAACTCGACATCCCTTCTAACAAGACCTTTACAATACCTTTACAATTCTCATTTCCTTTGTTCCTAATTAGATAAGGTAAAGGTGCACATAAAAGACTTTGAATAAAAATCTCACTACTTAATAGATTTATATTATTTTGTTTAATTCCGATAAAATTAGTATGTATGAGACCACAAATATTCATTGTGGAAACTTGACTACCATTATGACCATCTCAAATGGTAACCAAAGACAGTTATTGAGTCTACATCCATATTGCGACACGTGTTTCACATCTGTACGAAGCATCATCAGGTATTGTATAGAGTACGGATATAGAGAAGTTAGTTACTAACTAGTTTTTAATAAAGATATTTTGAATTTTTAATGTTTCTATTTCACAGATTTTTTTTATCGCCGTTATCGTAGTACATTACTATGATGGTGACAATTAAGTACACGGCCCATTTGATGGTCAATGGTTACTGTAACTATGGACGCTTGAAATACCAGGGGTGTCACTTTATATTCCTTTTTTGAAAAACCAAACTGTAGTTTCTAGAGAAATCCTTGGCAGGTAGTGCATCCACAATCTAAGTGTACGCCGGCGGAAGCTTCTCTGAAATCGCACTGTCCGAAACTACTTAAGTTCCAGCGTGGTTTCTGTTTTAAGAGATTTCCTTTGATTTTGAATAAATTATAATTATAAATGTAATAAGAACTAGAAATAATTTATTCTATATCTGTATTGAAGAAATGTTCAAACGTGTCAGAACTTTATGAAGAATTTCGACATTCTTTGTAGAGTTAGTTTCTATGTACCTACGTATATGTCAACATTTGTGGCGTTGTGTACACAGGTGAAAGAAGGAGGCGACAGTCGATCTGTCATTTTACTGTTTACTGATACAAATCATGAGTACATACATATCCTTACGACAATTATCCCAAATGGGATAATTAGATTGTAAATTTTCGATGATGTGAAGAATGCAACACTGGCCCACATTTTGCATAATTAAATGTATAGTGCATGATTGTTCAATAGAATAGAAAATAATTTATTCAAATATATTACATTGAAGCACTTTTGAATAGTCATCACATTTTTTTAATCTACCACTCAGTTCAGATCTAACTAAATAGAAAATATTATGATATTTCTCTGAAAAGGTTTGTAAACGGTGTTATTTAGTCATAAATTTATTGAATTATAAAAGTACATATTTAAATAATTTTATAACTGAAAAGGTTAAATAACAAGTAAGAAGGTAATGATAATGAGCAATGAATGTGAGTATTTCAGCATTATCCTTAGATGTAGTTATAGCCTGTTATTTTTAAAGTTTACATCATAATTATTAACATTTTCATCATACGTTCTCATCATATTTTCATCATCGTACCTACTTTTTATACTATTATTATTTTAATAATAAATACCTACATAGGTATTTACTTTTTAAAATTAAAAAAATACTTTTACTTGTACTTGTACTTTTTAAAATTAAAGAATTCTGTTCCAAATGCGAATATATTTTTAACTTATAATTAATGAAGTATTAAAACAAATTACTTCCAATTATTATTATTATCAATATCGTTGTTTAAAACAAGAGTAATTAATTTAAATACAGCGAATCTATTCAGATATATAAATATCTGATAGATAAATCAATATCAATAAAACAATGAAAGTATCTGTGGATAAAAACAATTAGCATTTTATTTATATTACTTCAACATAATGTAGAGATTTAAATAAAGGAACAAAATATATAGATTAATAAATAGTCGACCCAATCAAGTCAGAAAAGACTGATTGAAATACATATAATGCCCAAATAACATAATTAATGGCCCCGGTGGTCTAGTGGTTCTGAAATATAGCGACACATTGAAATACTTCCGGTGGTCGCGGGTTCGATTCTTTGAACGGCACAAACATTTATATTCATGAGTATAATAGTTTGTATCGGTCTGGACGTTTTCTTTTATTTGCATCTATTGCCAAGTACCCATAACACAAGTTCTGCTTACCGTGGGACTAGATGGCGCTGTGTTAATTGTCCAAGGTTATTATTATTATTTATTAAATATAAAAATGAGTTCATTAGGTAATAATATATAGTACAAAATATTTAATCTTTAATACAGTAATACATACAATAATTTAGAGATAATTATATTCTCAAAGGTGGACTTATCCCTAGAAGAGATTTCTTTCAGTTAAATCAAAACAGTGACAAAGTCATAATTAGTGCAAAAAGTAAATACAAAGTTAAAAAAATACTAATTATAAATTGTCCTATTGTAAATAATTTGACTTCATTATCAAATTGTACATACAAATTTAAAATAATAGGTAAACATCCATATCACTCATATCAGCTGTTACATGATCGAAGCACGTGGCGCTAGTATCAACTCACCATCACAATCCGAGAAAATATGATCGAACGAGTCCAAAAAGTCTCTAAACTCGTCCTTGCTCACATCCAAAAGATTTACTGGGCCGGTTGCCATTTTAATATCACAATCACAAGAATCGATCGGAACCACGTGTGTTCATAACCTAGTTACACAGGGCACTGCGCTCGCGTCTATCTGTACGTCATTATAAAGTTGTGCGGTGGGACACTGTGTCCGTTGTAACACGATTTTGGGATGACGCATCGTGAATTTTATTTTTAGTCAATTGCATAAACTATTTTTATGTTGCGTAATGGATTAATAGGAAACGACAAAATGATATACAGTTGTAACTAGTAAAAACGTATATATATGTATACAGTGCAAATAAAGATTGTACTAAGTGTTCAATCTAGACTTTAAGGTACTCATAATAAGTAATATTTTGTTTTACTTTTCTCCATTTTTGTTATCCGCAACAAATTGCTAAGAAAGGTTTTGTATTCGTTTAACGTTACGCTTTATTTATATAATGTATTAAATATCTATAATTTGTAGTACAGAAGTCATGACAGAATAGAAATAAATAAAACATTGTGACATATGAAATATATTGTATTATTTTTTATTTATTTATTAAGTTAGAGAATATAAACAACAATGAAATAGTATATGTAATATAATTTTCAATTAAATGTAATCAATAACTATCTATAGTACACTACAAGTCGCTAAAATATAATGCAGCGGTAATTGCTACTTGCTAATTTTATTCGCTCACATTTAATTCTATTATTATTCCATAAATTTTTCTTTTTAAATAAATATTTTATTTTACTTTCGTATTATTTCAAAATAATATGAACATACATATATAATTTGATACTATATTACAAATCCGTTAATATAATCGTATATAATATGGAAATAATGTTATCATTTTGTCGTATATAACATTCAATGGAATTGTGCAATTGTTACTATGGGGGTAGAGCAGAATATACCCATTTAGTTTGCGGCCTTGAAGTTTTTTTAAGTTTTATACACGTTGTTATTAATTGTTCATAGTAATATTTTAATAAACTCTTTCATTATAATCATAAAAGTGTTTATCAATAAATTCAATCCTTATAGATTATTATATGTTATCAGTAGGTAATAATTGCATACATTTTTTTATACACCAACAGAATATTTTTGTCTGCTAGTAAGATTTTGGAAATAGTACATTTTTGCATATAGTATTCATCCTTTCCTTATTCCATCGAAGACCTGATCAAGGCAACCGATTGTGACATTGAAATTGTTAAGGTCTGGTATGAACATGTTTACCATTGATACGTAAGAAGATTATTCCATCATAATGTTCATGGGTCTCATTGTAGATTGAAAAGCACGGCAGATAATAATTTAGTATTTTATTTAACATTTTTAATTTATATTACAGTCTTATTAAGGTAATTCGTAAAAAAATATATAAAAGAATATATTATTAATTTAGAAATTCTATCAATTTTCAAATTTCAACGGCTACCGTAATAGTTTGATCAATACAATGTAACTTTCTAACATTAACTGTAATATGATATAACGTCGACAGCCCTGATAATGTATTGGAAGATTTATAGACAACCAGAAGCAGTTAGTCCCATAGGAGCTTTTATGTTGACGTAACCAGAAATTTATATCAAGGTTTATGTGATCCAATTTTTTAGTAGATGTTGGAAAATATAATCTGTGTTAATTCTCTTTTAATATGATATTTATTTTATGTTATATATTATTTATAATGAGAATAACATAAACAGTTTCATGCCTCATGGTAAATATTATTTTTAATAAAATAATATTATTATACGTCATAATAATAATATCAGAACCAGACGAATACAAACTATCATACTCATGAATACAAATGTCTGTACTACGCGAGGAGTCGAAACCGCTACCGCCGGAGTAAGGCGATGTGCTGAACCGCTAGATCACCGAGGGAGATACATATAGATTATAATTAATATTTATTAATACACATTAAATAAATTATAATATTATAACTTAATACTGTCATCATTATTCTTTACTATACAAGCCTACATCAATTTACTTTCAAAGCAAAACAAATAAGACTATATTTATTTCTTAAACCATACAAACTTATTCACTCTTTATAGAATAAAATTTAAAACATATTTTGGCAAATATCCACATCATATAATATATTCGGGACCCTGTAAAGCATGCAAAATTGAACGGAAATGTTAATACTTATCTATTAATGTAAATAAACGTATGATAGTAGCACTTAAATTTATTTAACACACACATATGTCTACAATATGTTGAAGGAATAATTTAAATATTGAATCATAATGTACCTACATACTATATGATAACGTATCATTTTGATATTACAATATTAATGAAAATTGATATATTTACTGTAAATAACAAAAAGGGCAAACAAATAGTTTTTTTAAAGCAAATAGTATGGCACGTGGATCTTAAAGATGGCTAAAAATATTTTTACCTGGCGATAAGGGATTTGATAGAAAAAAACCCAAAATCAAGGTAATATAAAGTAAATAATATTAACAAATTTTACCATTAAGGTTGAAGTGGTGTAAAGTTGCTTTCAATATGCTTAGTACTTCTGATAAATACACAGTATATTTTAATAGAAATCCTATTTTATTTATTTTTATTTATTTATTAACACTTTATTGCACCAGAAAGACAAACAATTAAATAAAGAACAAACAAGTAATAAGTAATAAGGTACAAAAGGCGGTCTTATCGCTTAAGCAATCTCTTCCAGACAACCTTTGGGTAGAGGAGAGAAGACAGAAAGTGGTAGATGGCGCAAGAATATTTTAGTTCATTTTTAAAATAATTGTTTTTTTTTTCTATAACAATTGGAATGCTTAGATACTAAGTTTATGGTACATTATTACGTTACTTTTATGGGTTTAATAAAAAATAGAGATCTCTTTTCATATGCATTTACTCGAGAGCACTTTTGAGTGGCTTGTTTTGTAAATCTGAGGAATATCTCCCAAAAATAGAATATCAAAGAACTTACACTGTACCACATACTTTTATAGGAAACATACATTATACATACATTACGTAATAAGTACTAGACAACTGATAAAAATACAAACAGCAAACTCGTGAATGCATTGTGTAGGTATAGAACTCACGACCTTCAGAAAGACACTATACCAAACCGCTATACCACCCAGATCGTCTATAGATAATCCATATGTAGATATGTAGATATATGAAAGCGACACGTATATATATTAGTGACACATTAATATACATGTTTGCATGAAATACGCATTGTTTAATACAATGGAAACAGTTCCTACGCCTGTTATCGATTTGACGCAACGCGCGTCACCGTGGTTACGACCTTGTTTTTAATTCCAACCCACCGATTTGTTCTAACATTGACATTTGAAGGGAAGTGTCCGGGAAATCGATTTGTTTTACGATCAATTATCGATTTTTTTCGATCACAATGATTAATGCAATTTAGCGGATGAGAAGTGATTGTTTTCGCCCCCCGGCGTGGAACTAATCTAATCGATTTCAGTATTGTCGCGTTCCATTTATAATTATTCGATTATATAATTATTAGGTGTTGAAAATAATTTTGTACGCTTTTTTTTTAAATAAACGATATACATAGGTATATCCATCCTCGTGAGACAATCTTTCTTCACGTCAAATACCATTAAGATCCGTTCAGTCAAACATACAGAGAGATATACTTTCGTCATTACAAGAGTAGTATGAATGTAAGATATGGCAACACAAATAAAAACATATAGTGAAAGTGTCCTTTGTATGTTTGTATATCTTACATCCATACTACTATTATAAATGCGAAAGTCGTGTTTGTACTAGCAATAGCAGTTGACTTCCATACTATATTCTAGAAATCATCGTTGTAAAATAATAGTAAATGAATCATGATAGGCTTACTGACCTGACTACCTTCATTAATTTTCTACTTGTAATTATGTTTTTATATTTGTATACATATTAGTAATGTTATTGAATTGTCTGTGCTAGGAACAATTAGGAGATTTAATTTGTTCTTTCACACGTATTACGTAGTTGGAGCTCGATTGTCTTTTTTTTTAGGCGACTTTTGTTCCACTACCTAGTAGGTACGTAGATTTGTGGCACTGCGAACCGAAGAGATCTATTTCACTTGCCATTTTTTTAGAGTTTCTTCCTTGGTCGATTAGGTAGAAGAATTGAGGGATATTCTTAGAAGCGATTGCTTTTATCTCTACATGCATGCATGCATTTATGCATGAGTAGGCTACAACCACATAGAATGTGTTGAGCTGTTTCCTCCATGTCTTTTAGTATGGTTTAAATTTAAAACCAAACTATGTTCAAAAATATGTTATACAAAATACCTTTTTTTCTCTCTATAATTAAAGATATACTCGTAGAATCCTAAGGACCTCAGTGGGATGTATCACTTTGATTGAAATTGAAATTTTACCTATATTAATTGCTCTTAAAAAAGCGCTGTGTAATAAAAGGTTATACAAATTTTAAATACAGTAAAAATTTGAAACGCTGATCATTCAAAATGTCGAGAGTTCGCCCACGAAATTTTCTTTCATTGGACCCGATCAATTTTCTAATGGAATGGACAAAAAATATACCTTATAACGTACTGGCAGTCAATGACGTCATTTGAGTTTAATAAACCGTTCGTTTTGATTCGAACAAAAGCTGTCAATACCCGAAGCCTAATATTAAATAAGTTATATATGAATGTAAGCCTGAATAAATAGATTTTATACGAAAATAGATGTAGAAATCTAATAAATGTACTGTTACTATTCACCGCCACTTTTTATAGACCGATTTAGAAAAGATGCTTCCATATTAGATGAGCTTTGTAACCTGTGTTTAAGTATTTATTTTGGACTATTACTATTATTTATGTTTGGTCTAATCGCGCTGTAACACTTGGATATACAAATTAAGCTACCTTGACTAATAGACGAAAACAATTATTATTTAGTCTGCAGTATTGTAAGTACGTAACACAATACAGACTCCTAATAGGCAAGTTACAGGCTTACAGTCTATTGCAATACGATACGACTTTAATTGTGATTTCGTGTGTATTC